ATGCGTTTGTAAGAAACTAATCTGTTCCTTAAATTGTCTATTCATTAAATGCTTTAGTCATGGTTGTAAGCGATGGTTTCGTTTTAATACAATTTTTCAAAAGCTGAGGAGTAAATGTTGCCAAAGGCTAAGGAGAATTTGAGTTTTGGTATTTAAGCATATCTGTTCTATAGGTGCCAAAATAATCATGAAATAATTGATTAAAAACCACACTTGAAAACATTCAAATTGAAGACTTATAGTTGCCAAAATGGTTTTCCAGATGGATAGCTTAAACGTTGAGTATGTGGAAACCTGAGTCAGCCTTCTTTTCACTTCATTTAATAATAGAAAGGTCACACAGGCAGTTTTTAGGTTAAAAATGATAACATGGATAATTAATAGTGTCCAATAGAAATGACACATTGGATTCCCCAGTTGATGTGAATGGCACACACCCTTGACACTGTCATTCAAGAAAAACCGAAGCACAGCCTTCCCAGCCCTACCTAAATACTTCTGTGGGCAAAAAGGATAGTGTCATCGTTTTGATTTCCCCTGACTCCTTGAAATAGCCCATTCTAATATTAAAACAGAGCAAATTATGGGAACGTGGCTTCTCCTCTGGAGGACTCACCCAACAGCAAAGAATTGGCTCTCTTGGCTATTTGTAGTCTCATCTGGATATGTTCTGACCCCAAATCCATAGAAAGTAAGTGTTGGAAAGAACTTTAAAATGTTTTTTTTTTCCCTCACAAAAACATTTAAAGAGACTTTATTTCACCTGTTAGGAGACTGAAGTCCAGAGGGGTATCCTAGTGACGGAGCCTTCCTAGAGGAGGAGCCAGGATTTGCCTCCGGTTTCCTTGGGAACCACTGCACTGCACTGCTGACTGTTATATCTCCTACTGTGTTGGGTTATAGGTGACAGTGTGGGCACGAAGGTGGGAAAAGCTGTTGACAAAATCATCATCAGAAATAGAAGGCATGGTTTCCTTGGGAACCACTGCATTGCACTGCTGACTGTTATATCTCCTACTGTGTTGGGTTATAGGTGACAGTGTGGGCACGAAGGTGGGAAAAGCTGTTGACAAAATCATCATCAGAAATAGAAGGCAATGCGTCTTTGTCTGTGTGTGCACGGTTTCCTTGGGAACCACTGCACTGCACTGCTGACTGTTATATCTCCTACTGTGTTGGGTTATAGGTGACAGTGTGGGCACGAAGGTGGAAAAAGCTGTTGACAAAATCATCATCAGAAATAGAAGGCAATGCGTCTTTGTCTGTGTGTGCACACAGTGGCCGCAGACACTTCTGCTCCAAGATCTCTTTGTGGTTTACCTGCTGCCATTCTAAAGTCTCTGGGAAATTTGCTCTGAATATTTCTAAAGGAACTGAGAACCAGTCCACTGATTTTATCTTCAGCAGCAGACAGTGGAGACATAAGCATCAAAGCGACAGTAGTGCACCACAGCTCACTCTTCAGACAAATAAGTCCCCAAACAAAATACCCTTCCTTTTCATTTGATGTAGACTGCACCTATTCTCAGGCAGTCAGTACTTTCCCCCTTTTGTTTACACTGTTCCCTCTATTTTAAAAATTAAATAAGCATTATTTTCCTTCTGTATACTTAAAAAATTTTTTTATTGTAGGCCAAAACATCTATATGTAAAAGTGAGAAAAATCATAAACATGATTTAATGAATAATAATAAAGCATACTACCTCACCCCCAATCACCACAGGTCAAGCAATAAACATTGTTAGAACATGAAAGCCTATGCACCCATTTCCTTCCTAATTCCAGCTCTTTCTCCCCCTTAGATAAAACCATTAGACTGATATTTGTGGTGTAGATTTAGGTTATATGTGCTTTTTCTGTTCTTACAGTGATTCTACAAGAAATCACAACATGCATACTTCACTTATCAAAGTTTCAAGTTACATATACCTTCACTATCTTCCTAGACACTATGTTCTAGGTTGACAGGTAGTTTCTCTCCGCATACTGAAGATATAGTATTTAATTCCACTGCATCCTGGATTTCATTGTTGATATTGAGACATCACCTGTCAGTCTAGTAGTTACTCCTTACTCAGTCTCTTTTCTCTGGCTGCTTTTAAAATTTTCAAGAAGATAAATCTTGATGTGCATGTGTGTATATTCCATTGATTTTTAAAAATAATCTCAGTTACTGCATTTTTTTTTGTTGTTGCTGTTGCCAAATCTAATTGGTTCTTCTTCTTTTTTTTTGGACAGTGGTGCATGTGTGTATATTCCATTGATTTTTAAAAAAAATCTCAGTTACTGCATTTTTTTTGTTGTTGCTGTTGCCAAATCTAATTGGTTCTTCTTCTTTTTTTTTGGACAGTGGCTGGTTAGGGGATCTGAACCCTTGACCTTGGCATTACTGGCCCTGTGCTCTAACCGACTGAGCTAACTGGCCAGACCCTCTAGTTGGCTCATTTTCAAATTAGATGACTTAAAAAATTTTCTCCTGTGCACTACAGATATTATTACAAGTTTGTCTTTTATTTTCTTAAACGGAATAAGCTCAATTGTTTTATTTTGCAGGTCTCATAGTTCAAATATATAAATTGTGGGTCTGTTTTGTAGTCTGTTGTTACCTTGCTTACTTGTGTGTCTCATTATTTTTATGGTGTGCTTGTCATTGTGTCTAAATATTATTTGTACCAATGATTTGAGGCTTAGGATAAAAACATTTTCTTCCTGTAATAGTTTGCATTTTTTCTTTCAAAAGCCTAGGTTTAATAATAGTCCAAGATTACCTTAAACAAATTTCAAAGACTGATGTTTTCTGGACCATTGGAGTGATTTGAAGGGCTACAATCTGCATGAAGGCTGGTTTACTTGTGGCTTACCTGTACTCCAAGGTTGTAACTCTAACATCCCAACTTATTAGGGAGAGGGCCTTCAACTAGATTCCTTGCTTTGAAGACTTTGGGATTTGAGACATAAAAACAAAAGTTTGAATTTGGGAGAACAGCAAATGCTCTCACATTAAAAGCAGCTTCCAGGCTCTGCTCATCTCTCTGGGTTCTGGTTCTCTCTTCAAATTTAACCTGTAATTTCTCCTCCTTTGTATGAGCTCTTTAATCCTTTTAATAATATTTTTAGACATTTTGTTTAGCATTTTTGGTTGTTTTGTTGTAAGAATTAGTTTGTTTTAGATATTTTATTCTACTTTTATTTATTTATTTTTTATTGAAACAATTGATTATACATATTTGTGGTGTACAGAGTTGACTATTGTGTACAATATGTGATGATAAAACCAAGAAAACTGAAACACTTGTGCTTATTTTCACAATCAAATCCCTAAGTTGAAAATCTATTCCCTAATAATATGAGAGATATAAATGAAAGCCTAGAGATATTAAGAAAAATAAGTAATTGTGGTGAATATTAACTAAAATTAAGGCAACTAGTGCAGGCAGATGTGTGAGAAATGAATCCTTCTAGATAATGCTAGTCCTTTTAGAAATTGGAGCAGTTCTTTCAGAAAGTGTAATGGCAATACATAGTGTTATAATAATGCTTAAACATTTGGACCAAATGTTATAATATTTACATAAAAGCAAAATGCTGAAAATAATCCCAACATCCAACATTACTGTATTAGTTTTAAAAAATTATGATTAACATTACAGCCTATTGTAATAGTCATTAAAAAGAATAATTATAGTGACTGTAAAAGTGGAAAGTTTATGATATGACATTAAATGAGAATAGCAGCACACAATATGGTTGCTATATAAAATAAGTATATATCTGGAAAATAAAGAGCAAAAACATTCAAATAGTATTTCTGTTTCACTGAAAGGACTAGGTAATCTTTTTCTTAAAAATTCTTTACACATGTTGTATAGTCTTCTCAAGAACAAAGACAGAGATTTCAAAACTTAAGTAAAAAACCGTCATGCTAATAATTTTTTCCAAAGAATTTCAGCATGAAAATTTGTCATATTAAAAAAAAAAAAAGAAAAGAAAACAGAAAAAGAAAAGGAAGACAAAGAGCCATTGAACTTAAATAACTCAATCTGCAACGAGGGCAAAGCCATTTCAGTTTCTTCCTTCTGTGATCCGTATGTAGCTCACAGAAACAAACTTGTCTTCCCATAAACTTAAATTTATTTTAAGAAATGAAAAAGTAAACAAAAATCTGGGACCTTTTCCTTTATCATCATTCCTCGATTCAGTTCTCAGGGGATGAGGTTCAGAGAAGGCACATTTCTGTCACTTGAAAATGATTCATCTGTTCCTTTACTCTCCAGTGGAAGGGTGTAATGTAAACATATATTTATATGTAATCATTTATTTTTAGCTTACACTATTGTGTACTTGTAAAAGTCTTTTCCTAAACTACGTTTTCCCCCATATTTCTTTTCATTTGGCCAAGTGCTACTCATCCTTTTATTTTAATTTTAAAACTCACTTCCTCAAAGTGGCATTTCCTTTTTCTTTTTTATAGTTTTTAATTGATAAAAATTAATTGTAAATATTTGTGGGGTACAGAATTGAATATCAATACATGTGTACAATACACGCTGATCAAATCAGGTCAATTAGTATACTCTGTAATAAAGATTATAACCCACCCCAGCCCTACCATCTTTATTCAAATTATTCTTCATTCCTAGAACAAATTATGGTGCATTACTACATATTTATTTGTTTACCACCTGCTTCAATCTGAAAGCTGTCAAAGGGCAGAGATCATCCCAGTTCGATTCATACTATGTAAATCTATTATTTAATATTCAATATATTCCATATTATATATTCACATATGACAAGCAAGTTATTGATGAGGTTTTTTTTTCTAGGACACAATTTTACCTTATGTTCTTTTGGGTGGAGAGGTTTGAAGTTCTTTCATTTTGGTGCAACAGAGATGACTTTATGAAGAGAATAAATTACTTTTAAGTTCAAATATAATTATTAGGGCAACATATTTATAAAATGTCACTTTTGCTTTTTTTTCTTTCTTTTTATCCAGGAGAAATCAATGATTCCGTCAAGTCTGATATGTTTACATTTCACAACGGAGGTGTACAAATTTTATGCAAATACCCTGAGATTGTTCAGCAGTTTAAAATGCAGTTGCTGAAAGGGAGGCAAACACTCTGTGATCTCACTAAGACAAAGGGAAGTGGAAACACGGTGTCCATCAAGAATCTGAACTTTTGTCAATCTCAGTTATCCAACAACAGTGTCTCTTTTTTTCTATATAACTTGGACAGTTCTCATGCCAGCTACTATTCCTGCAAACTATCAATATTTGATCCTCCTCCTTTTCAAGAAGAGGTTTTTAGTGGCGAATATTTGCATGTTTATGGTAAGACATTGCTTTTATCTTCTGGAATTAAGAGTACATATGTGTTTTGACAACTTTTCTCACTAATGAAAACAATCAGACAAGTATCATTTGTGTTGGGGTTCAATTAGGTGCAGTTGAAGTCAATCATTGATGATGAAAATATACAAGGGAAGATTTATTATTAATAATAGTAATTAGTGTTAATCAGTAATATGCAATTTAGTCACATAAATTGCTGAGTTAGAAATAGGTCATGCTGTCTTTAAAACACATGTGATTTTAATGAAAAATCAGAAAAAAAATTAAGACAAATACCTAAACTCATGGCTTAATAATGGCTATTATCTCTATTCACCTAAGATTGAAGGTTTAGTTTTGCAGTGTGTTTGTGGAGTGAAGTGAATTGATTACTTTTACTATTTGCTGTTTTGCAAAAATACAGGCAGAAAACTCCTTTCTATTAACCACATTTGTCAACATACATGTGCATCGTCTTTTAGGTTTTTTTTTTTTCTGGATACTTGTTATAATACTGAGATGATGTTAGTTACCATTTACTCGATTTCATGACCGCAATGAAGAAAAGCGGTCATTTGATTAAATTGCTTTCTAAAATTTGGTAAAGGAACTTGTGGTTCAGCAATGAAAGAGGAGATTTGATTCTTGGAGTTTTTCATTAACATGTCTTTTCTTCAACCTAGAATCACAGCTGTGTTGTCAACTGAAGTTTTGGTTACCGATAGGATGTTCAGCTTTTGTTGTTGTCTACATTATTGCATGCACGTTTGTTTGTTGGCTTACAAAAAAGGTGAGCAATTTCTGCCTTTTCTTGTATCTGCTTTACTGAGAAATGTCAGTGGTTATTTACTCAGCAAAAATTCACATCACTCTTGCCAGAGTAATGTTATCAAAAGGTAGACAATTCCTTTTTCCCAAGATCTACCTACTAATTAAACTAATAACTTAGAACAGAAGTTTATTTATTCTTTTATTTAATAGCCCACTTTATTTCAAAAAGGGCTCAATGGCTTACAGAGAAATATGTTATTAGTATTATCCAAAAAAGATAAGGAAACTGGGGCCAAGAGAAGACAAAAAGGAGGAAAGTTATAAAGATAGTAAATTTGAATCTAAGCTTCCTAGAGTGAAGGCAAAGATGTAACACTTTGTCACAAATTTTCCTCAATTGGTAAGTTAAAAACAGTCAGTGACAAGGTCTTGTAAGAGGACAGTAGTAGGTGAGAAAGTAATTGCCAGCTTCTTTACATGGCAAGTGTTTAGACTCCTTGCTTTAAAAGAAAACCTCTGAAAAGCTATTCGGAAAGATAAACAATGACAACAACAGAAGTCTCTCTGTGTCATGGGACATTTTTAGTCTTTCACATTACAGATTTTCACCCAAAGAGCTAACACCATTCTGCATACTCTGCATGTACGCTAATACTCACAACTGGCCAGACAGTGTGCCTATCTGTGCCAAACTGGAATTTGAAAAGAGATAGAAAAAGAGAAGAGAACGAGATAGGGTCCATGATCGAAGTCTACTGGGGAAGGAACAATAAAGGCAGAAATGCAGACAGAAGGTCAGCAGAAAGCTCTTTTCATTCAAAGCCCTTCTCATATTGTTCTCATACTTAGCTTAAAGCCAGGAGCCTAAGTCACATTATTCCACTTTGGTCACACACCACTTCAACAGAGTAGAAAACAGTCAAAAAGCAGGGACAGCGATGGGGAAGAGCAAACGACAAACCGTGTTTTTGACCTTTTCTTTCAGAAGTATCGATCCAGTGTGCACGACCCTAATAGTGAATATATGTTCATGGCTGCAGTGAACATGGCTAAAAAACCTAAACTCACAGGTACGGCTCCACTGGGGGGTTTGGTAGGGAAGCTGGTCTTCACGTTAAGCCTAAAATTTTAATTTTTTTTAATTTTAAAAGAAGGGAAAATATCTCTAAAACTTAATTTTAGTGTTTTTCTGTGAAAATCTGGATTTTTCACTTTAATTGAATTTATGCTTTCTGCAATATATTAAGAACAAACAAATAATACATTTGTAAACTACTATTGAAAATAAATAAACAAACAAGAAGTTCATAAGCCACAACTGTGTCAAGATAACTTTCTAAATGATATTTCAAAAATTGGGATGATTCTGAGTCTTCCTTGTTGAAAAGCTCATTGAGTCATACGATGAGCCTTCTCACAATATCAGTTAAGTGCACGCTATTGAGTGAGCACTGTGGGGCTGTACAGATGCACAGGGATTTTGGACTGAAATTAGGAAGAGAGATCTGGGCTGGTGCTACCAGGGGGAAGAAGGAGAATTTGGCGAAGATATTTAGTTATTTTGATGTAAAGAGTGTGCAAGTTTAGAGAGCTTGGATGCTTCAGAAGTCTCAGGTGGGACTTTGACCTTTTCTGCTGAGAGTTAGAACTGAGTGTTGTCAAGTTTGAGGAGCACCCAGACAGTCTGAAGCATCCACTGTGGAAAATTTGTAAGTCTTCTGCTTTTGAGGTTGAAATGATGTGAAGTATGTAATGAGACAAAAGCCACTGAATTTTTGCCACCACTCGATGGTTAAGGACTGTATAAAAGGGACACACATAGCTTCCATTGTCATAGAATCA